AAGGGATAAACCATGATGTATTGAACACATTAAGGGATAAACCATGATGTATTGAACACAAAAAAAGATAAATCATGATGTATTGAACACATGAGATATCATTAGAAATGGAACTTATCTGAGAGAGGACTACCTGAGGTACCTATAGTATCAAGCAATCGGACTTGATCGTTTTTAACAAGAATTCGAAAATATCACTTTTTACAAAAAATGACAAAAATATTCATCAAAATTAGAGAATTGAAGATATATTGAAATGAACAAATCTGAGAGAGGTCCACATGTAGTACCTATATATATATATATATTATCAAAGCAATCGGACTTGCAGTTTTCAACAAGAAGTTGAAAATATCACTTTTTACCAAAAATTTTTAAATAAATTTTCTATCACCAGAGATAAATTTCAGCAATCCTCAGAAGTTGAGAGAAAATATCATGAAAAATATTAAAAATGTTAACAAGCTGTCGGTCGGCTGAGATAGCTCCGCTGTTAGCAATGCACATTTCAATTTAAGAACAGAAGATATCATTAGAAAATGAACAATATGTATAGTATCAAAGCAATGGGACTTGCTATTTTCAACAAGGATTCAAAAATATCACTTTTCATCAAAAATAATCATCAAAATTAGTAATTGAAGACATCACCACGAAATTAACAAATCTGAAAGAGGTCCACATGTAGTACCTATATATGTAATATCAAAGCAATTGGACTTGCGGTTTTTAACAAGAATTCGAAAATATCACTTTTTACAAAAAATGACAAAAATATTCATCAAAATTAGAGAATTGAAGATATATTGAAATGAACAAATCTGAGAGAGGTCCACATGTAGTACCTATATATATATTATCAAAGCAATCTGACTTGCAGTTTTCAACAAGAAGTTGAAAATATCACTTTTTACCAAAAATATTTATCAAAATTAGAGAATTGAAGGTATTATGAAATTAACAAATCTAAGAGAGGTCTGCCCAAAGTACATATAAACCAAGTATCAATTTAATAAAAGTTGTAGTTTTCAAGAAGAAGTCGAAAAAGTAAAAAGTTGAAACGAACAACGGGCAATCACTCATATAATAAACTTCGCTCGACAAAGTCGACAGTGCGAAAAATATTGGCCGACTTCAGGGGTGAACTTTTTTAACCAAAGTCATAATTACTAAAAAATTAATATTCATGTTTTACTAATAAAAATGTAGTGTATTAATCTAAATGTCTCTTATAGAATATAATATAAAAGTTCATAAAAAAGTAATAGTACAGCAACATATCCAAGGAAAATACTAGCCAATGTGTTCTTCAATTAATACATTTACTGCAATAATCTTTATACAATTCATGTTACTGTAAGATACTTCATTTCTGCAGGAGTTAATTTTCGCTGAAAAGACTTTTGGGTGTTTTATATGAATTTTATTTTCACTGATTTTTGACGTAAATTTCTACCTAATCCTTCAGCAAAAATGAATTCCCAATAAAAAATAAAGTATTTTACAGTAACATGAATTGTATAAAAGTTCTCAAATAATAGTGCATTAACATAAAATAATACATGTAGCTAGATTGGAAAAAGGAAGGGCAAGTACACTACTAACATCTCATTATCAGTAGTGCAAGTATCTTCAAGGTTCAAGCTTCGGGGGGAAAATGGTGATTGGTTTTTCATTTCTGCAATCCAACAGACTGAATTTTCCAGTTTCTCAAAATTGTGTGAATAAACATCAATTGAGCGGTACACAAATTATACTCCACGTAATTTGGGCAGCATACAGCGTTAAGGTCATCAATGTGCCAAACTAAGGTGATGGTGTATGCAAAGATAACAGCCAGATTTCAATAGGCAAATCAGACTATAGAGTGATGCATGTGGTCAGAGTGCTCCAGAAAATATCTAAGTATCCATAGAATAATGTATTTTTCTGTCATATACAATCATGCGTAATTTAAGCATAATTCTCATCTAAAAGTTGACGAGAAGACACAATTTAAACGATCAAGGAAGTCTTCAAATTATCTGTCAATCATAGATGCATTCGAATTATTAGTCCAATTTTTTGTGTGACAATGTGTCCTTTCAAGGCAGACGCAGGTGTTCGTAAGATGTTTAGCAACCATATCAAGTAATGTCCGCATACACTGTCAATGTCAAATTATTTATCCCATCATGCAGTAGTACAGAGAGATTGCAGCTCCATGGCTTAAAGTGCCCAAGTTATTGAACAAGTTGTGTTTGATAGTAGTCCTCTGCAACTTATACAGTGCATGTTAAATTTTATTATGTGTTCACATAAAATACAAATGTGGGCTGCATCACAAATGTGCCTTTTAACACAGGGAGCGTTACTAATTGTAACTATCAGGGTACTTTTAAGTTATTTTAATAATCTGGGCTTCAAAAGGAAAAATAATACTTCATCATAATTACATAATGCTGGCTGTAAACTAGGAGTTATTTCTCACAAGGGTTTTAGCGAGTTATTTCTCACTTGAGTTTTAGTGGTTATTTCTCACCAGGAATTTTAGTTATTTGTCACTAAATTTAAGTGGGTTATTTCTCAGGAGTCATTGTAAATGGTGAAAGAAATAAATCATTATCATCATCATCCACTGTGATCTGTGTCTGGTTTAATCTATCATTTTGCGACAAGGACTGCTGTTGGTTAACCCGTGTTGACTCTTTCATTGTGTGTACAATTGGCGGTACGTTGGCATGTAATTCTTGAATGACAGAAACTTCATCGTCTCCAGTGTGTGAAGAAGGTAGTGACATGTAACAAGAGTTTTCAACTCTGTTCAACGTGCTCAAAGTGACAGTTGGGAGATTTTGCACTGTTACATTCGGATTGCTAATGCTCAAGTTACTGGTACTTGTGGTTGTCGGTTGGGTTGAAGTGGTGAGCTGCATTATTTCTAAAAAGGCCATTTGTTCTTTGGTTTGGAAACCGTCACCGTTACATAGTGCATCTGGACGCGTCATTTCCTGACTGCACATGCTGTAGTCGTCATTCTCAACATTGCTTTGATGATCATTTTCTGTCACCACTTCAACGGTTTTGAAAACTGTTACAGGAAGAGAATTTTTATCGTTTACTCGGTCCCCAGAAATATCCCGCACTCCAGAAGATGCTGTAGCTGCATCAGTTTCCATCACGTTTGGCGGTACAAATGCCACCTCTTTGTTGCTGGCAGCACTCGGTGATGCATCTTGTCTGACTTTAGACTGTTTCATTTTCTCTGCTGTAACCGTACTGTTCTCAGAAGGAAGACAATCATCTTCTGGGTTGTATATCCCTGCTATGATAGACATAACATCAGTCGTACAAATGGGTTTATGATTCCAGTGCACATGTGACCTAAACTCCACAGACACGTTTGTAGAGTATTCCTTACAGTACGGACAATTGAAGAAGTTTCTTGCCCTGGTGCTTGTTCGTCTTACTTATATGCTTATGCATGTTTTCAATATTCGCTGTGCGATGTTCACAGTAGGGACACTTGTATGGTTTGGATCCCATGTGCTTGCGCTTATGACGCTTCAGATGCGAACACACAGTACTTGCATAGTCGCAACCGGTGAAGTCACATTTGAATGGTTTTTCACCACTATGTGTCCTCCTGTGTTTTGTTAGCGCGTGTTTCGTCTTACCGCCATAACCACACATATCACATAGAAACAAACGTTCCCCAGTGTGAGTATCCATATGGTAACGAAGTTCAACTTTATGACGACCAGCATATATACAGCCTTTGTACGGACAAGTGAACGGCCTAACACCTGTGTGGCTTTGTGTATGAGTTTTCAGAAGCGAACTTGAATAAAAACGTGCCCCACAAATCTCGCATATGAAATTTTTTTCCTGTCCCTTATTGTGTATGGCGTCAATATGCCGCTTCAAACAGCCTGATCGCACTGTGCTGAAATCGCAGTGTGGGCATTTTTTTTCTTTTATCCCTAAATGGCACTTAATATGCAAGTTAAGATCCTCTCGCAGTTTGTACGTCTGCTCACACATAGGGCACTTAAAGGGTCTATCACCTGTGTGTGAGTAAATGTGCGCTTGCACGCCTTTGGATCCCAAAACACTCTGACATATGTTACATCGATATCGGCATTTACCATCAACCATCACCAGCTTGGTAACTTTGTTCATACACTCTTTCCTACTGGTCACCTGCAATTCATGTGATTTTGCCTCCCATTTCTGCAACTGGATGTGATCATCAGTCGCTTGATGAGTACTCAACTCATCCTTGTTGCGAAACTTCATCTTACAGATGAGACATTTTATTACATTTTTACCGACATGCTGTTTCATGTGTATTGTCACATCCTCAGGTAAATAGAACGCCTTCGAACAAGTCGTGCATTTCTCCAGAGGACCTGCACCGCTTTGCTTCAACACCCGTTTTCGGTGTATTTTACTTTTGTAATGATGCTGCAAACGACACGACAAGATTAAAGAATTGCATACATCGCATTTTGAGACGTCCTCGTTTTGACGCCACTGCAACAGACTGTCCATTTGATCATCATCGTGTTTCTCCTTTATATGATTTTGTACGCTGTATATACTCTCTGACGAGTATTCACATTCACTACAGTGAATCAACGAAGAGATTTTTCCACCAACTTGTGTTGTCCCAACTTCCATTTCAGATTCTTCATTTTCGGGGTTCTGCTCATCAATAGACTTAGAAATATCTTCCACCAACTTGTTATCCTCTGACTTGTTGCTTTTCGGAGATGTTTGTGTTTTTTCTTGTGTCTTTGACGACTGTAATCCCAGTGCTCCCATATAGGCAGAGGTCTCTTGATCACTGCCAGGCGTGTCCCTCTCTCGCATCGCTTCGCTTTCATAAACCACTGAAGTTAATTCATCCATTTTGTTAATCTTCTTTTTCAATCTCCGCAATTTCATACCCCCATAGCTTCGTCCATTCTCCACCTCGTCAAGGTGTTCATTTTCCTTGTGTTTCATATAGCCAGCCATATCAATAAATGACTGGGTACAGTATTCACATTTGAAAGGGTCTTTAGCGGTTGTAATCTTTTTCTGCATTTGTTTTGGTTTTTGTTTAAACAAGCCAGATTTGGGGGATTTCTTACAAGATTCAGGATCATCATGAATAGAGTTGACAAATTTCTGTGAAATTTTAAACCTGTGACGCTTGCTTTTATTCCTCTTTCTCTTCATTGGCTTGTCTTGTTTTCTTTTAATTAGTCCTGTATGTGTTGCACAATGCATGTCTGTATACTGCAGTGTCAATGGTTCTCCCTTGGAATTTTGACACAAGTCTGAAACAGTATCCTCCTCTATTTTCAAACAGTTCCGCAGGTTTGTTGAATCTTCTACTATTTCATTTTGTTCAGTAGCTTTCTTTCCTGTTGTGTTCTTGGTTACAAACTCCAGAATGTCTCTATTCTTCCCTGTCCTAACATCACATGAATCACCATAGCTACGCCTTTCCTCCTCTGCATCATCCACATAGTCAACATTCATTCCCCAGACCTCTTCATCAGAGCTGGATTCAAAAATATTCCCAACTTCAGTGAGACTTGTACTTGGCGGGTAAAGCTGAATAGTAGTCTTTGTTTTTTCGGATTTCTTCTTTCCAAAGTGACTGAACTCTGCATTTTCAGAGACATTTTTACTAACAATTGTCGGTCCATCCATGCTTAAGGAAACAGGTGTCTTCTTTAGCGATGAGCACTCTTGTTGTTTGTGTTTCACATAGTTTAACAAGCCAGGAATGGTTGTTTTACAATTCAGGCAAAGGTGAGTATCCTGATCTTTATCTAACTCTTGAAGCTCCATCACAAATATAATTGTAAATAGTTCTGCAATAAATAAAACAATAGTTATATAAATGTACCGTAACACCAGCTGGAATCAAAACACACCTCAGTCACTGTATTCAGTAAAATGATGACAGGAAGTGGTTTTAAGAATGTTGACAATTTGAATTTATATTTTTACGAGTAAATCAGCGCCGCAATATAATTTTCAAAATCGGTAAATAGTTGTATTGAAGTTCCCAAATGTTATGAAATAGACGTGCTCTTATAAGCCAAACTAAGCGTGTGTTAAATTATGTACCAATCTTGAAAGTTTAAAGTAGTCACTCCCCCACCATTTGGATGAAAGCTGCGCCCTGGTTTCACGTAAAATGTAAAAATTGATTGAGAAATGCAGCAAGCAAACTCTGCATTGAGTATATATTAAAACAACACAATCAAAAACAATAGTATAGGAGAACTTAAGATGGAGTAAATGTTTCATACAAAAACTTTTATGTAATTCATTGTTGTTTCATATCTATAACCCTTTTACCACCAATTCCCTCTTTTCATCACAAATTCAAAAATAGTCCTATTTATAGTCTGCATTTTCCTTCAGAAGATTTGGACCAAAATAGCTAAATTTTTTGAATAAAAACTGAAAATTGACACAAATTTTATCTGTTGGCTCTAAAAAGGGTGCTTGACCTTGAGAGAACACGGCATTTCACAATGAGGTTCCTCATTATTCCTCATTTGCATCAACTTTGCATCTGTAAGCAAGAGAAAATGCGCAAGATTGATTTTCATGAGGCAATTTGTTTTGGTTGTTTTCTTTGATATCAGATACAGAAATTCAGGACGATTCATTTGAGATGTTACTCGACTTTACTTTTGTAATCAGTTTTCAATTTAACCCACCAAGCCACTTAGTAAACAGCGATCATATGTTTTACTCCAGACTCCCCAGACAACAAAATCATTATTTTCATTAGGATGCTAGTAATTCACACACTTGTAAACAGAATAGTCAACAACTATGAGTTTTTACAGTATTCAGTACATGTCACTTACTAGTATATGGCTTCCCCCTTTCTCTGACATTTCACTTTGTAGTAGTAGGAGAAGTAGGAAAGCCGAGAACAGTCAACTGTGGCAGGAAAGGAGCATGGCTACAACTCAGAATCTTTTTTAAAATTTACTCAAAGATGAATTATTGTTTAATTTAATTTAAATTTAAACATTTACTTCTAAGCCATCGATAAAGATTCATTGCTCGAAACGTCTAGCTATTTTTAAGAGTTACTTAGACAACAATTACCAAATATTATCTACTACATATCGTTATAAAGCAAACTGGTGAGTTGGCATGACAACATGTACTTAGCTAAAGCAGAGAGGTAGTTAGGTATCTGATGGTTCCTACATACACTGCAATGTGGACATCTCAAAACAAATTACAACAGGCAGTAGTTGACATGGTAAATGGTTATACTGCTAACAGTGATTTGCCCAGGGAGGATAAAAATATTATTTTTATAGTAGTTTGTAGACCACATATCCCATTTTAATATTTTTACCTGAAATCCACAAAAACAGCGCAGTTAGACTCATCGTCAGTCTGTGTTATTGTTTGCCTGAGCATGTATTGCAACATTTAGACTCTATATTAAAATCTATTGTGTTGTCTCAGGCTACATATAGAATACTACTGATATGCTTAAGTAGGCTAGAGATATTTTTTTTTACTTCCGGTAACCCGAATTGTTATTTTCCACGAATGCCAAATTCACAGTTTATTTGGCTTCACTATATTTGGCTTCACTATATGAATATTTGCTTTTAAATTTAATGATAAACTTTATTAATCTTAGTAACCTTAAGTGATTTTAATAACAAAGTACCAACACGCTGAAGTTTAATAAAAATTAAATTATGATTTTGCCCTAAACCAAAATAACAATTCGTGTTTCCTATTTATCGTATTTTGTCTATTAGACGTGCATTATCAGATGAGATAATTCCCCAGTAGTTCAATAAAATATACCTACTGTGTAGTTTCAGTTTGATATTAGTCACATTGTGAGCAGTCAAAACGGTGCTTGATCAACTTGGCAGCTTCGGAAAATGACAATGATCTCTCTTTGCGGAAGTGACCCATGTCACATGACCAAATTACTGACCCGCTCGCATGGTCACGTGATATTAAACAGACGCCATCTTGGAGACTGCCAACTTTTTAACCAAACGGCATTTATGGAATTTTCTGGCAAATTTTGACGAAATCTCTGACACTTGTCCAAAATTGCAGGTAAGCATATAACTGGTCATTGCTGCGTATTGTACGATTTGTAGAGATATGATTTGAAAAAGTTTTGTCTGTAAGTTTGTCGTCAAAATAACACATAATTAGCTGTCAAAATGTTCTCGTTAAAAAATGCCCGCTCTAATCTGGCCTATGTGTGTCCACACGTAATTATCAAGATATGCAATTATGATATTACCCCTGCGCACATTTTGACAAATAATTATCTTACTCAGTCACAAAATTATTTAAAACCGCGATGTAATCGAAGTGAAGGGAATTAGTTTGCAGGGGTCAAATCCATTCCCAAGAAACAACGTTGGAAAACAAACCGTCCGTAACAACCCATACTGTACACACACTGCTGGGGATCGCGACAATGATATATAACATTATCATGACAATTTATTTAAATTTCACAACTAAAATTAGACAACATACAAATTGCTACAAATTAAATATCAAACGATATAACTTGCACATAATGATGTACACGCAGACGCTAAATGCATTAGTGGTAGCACAGGCGCTTGGAACGTTTCTTAGATAATAAAAAAATGACCTACAGTAGGATCGGCATAGTTAGTCAGTCGCCGGTACATTCCCCTACCACTCATATAATAACACAAGGTAGGAAAGCGTTGACATCATGACATCGAAATTTCCCGAAAATAACACGATTTTCCAAATTATATTTCGATCCGCTTCACAAAACTCAAGCATGATATCGATAGAAACTATCGATCGGCTTATATTACCTTTATTCAAACTAAAACAGGTTAAATCCTGTGAAAATCGAAACATTAGAGCAAAGAGGACAAATCCATCTACGCGAATATTTTGAAGCAGAGACCCGAGCATATGCACTTCCCAAACATGTACACGCGTACTGCATAGTCTAAAAATTTAAATATTGTATTGTTGTATGTTGTATCATTATACAACGTATTTTTAAATTGAATTTTCTTGAAAAATAAAAATTGAGCTAATATTTCGCAATATAAAAAAAACATCTGCATCTTTTTTTGATGAATATAACATATTTTGGTGTTGTGTGAAGTCATGTAGACATGTTCTTTAAAATGAGTTATTTCTGATTTTGTGTGTACATGTGTATACGGCTGTTTTATTCAGGTGTCTCACTGACAGTGTGTGATCAATCATCCAAAGAATGTTTTTTGTCTTCACTGCATGCAAAGATTGCCTGCAGTGAGTCAAGGAATATTTGCTAGCCATTTGATAAATTTGTCAGCCATTAAAATGACTGTCATGAAAAATGTATGGTTTCTTCTTTGACATTGACTACTTATATGTGATTTATTGTTTATGACTGTGTTAAATTTATGATATGCAAACATCATATTACTGGTTTAATTATTAACTTCCTATTCTTTATGTCGTGATTCAGTGGCCTCAGGTTCTCTCAAAAAGTCATAAGATGTGGTTTGATGATGATAACTACAATTTTTAAAGAGTAGCCACTCAATCCCGGGGATTGTACTAAGTGCTCATGGGTAATTTCAATTCAAAAACTTCTCCTCAATTCACTATGTAAACTAATGCTTATCTTTCCCCCTGCCACATTAATCCCCTAAAACAACTGGTGTAAACATCCTTTGAAATGAACACAAAGATGTTTATTTAAATACACCTGATCAACAAAAGAGTTACAAATGAAACACACTTGAGGTCATTTATGTAAAACGACTCTGGCCTGTTTGCTAGTTGTATATATGTTATTGTGTCACCCAAGTATGCAAACTTATATTTATTACACACAAACAGACAGCATGTAGAATAGACACACTGTTGAACTGCATAAAAAAACTTGAAAGTTTGAAAATGAATTTAGACCGGGCTGCTTGTTAATAATTTTGTGCATACATGAAATAAAACTAATTCAAGTTCACGTTGACCTATTATTGATACAATAGTCCACTGAATACTCAACACAATATCAGATTCTTGATAAATGTTCATGTAAGACAATTTGTTGCGTCACAGTACTGTGTTCTCTCCAGAAATTTTCCATAGAGTCGCAACTAATTTGCATAATAATTAGCATATAATTTGCATAAATTCACATATTGTATTGCATAAACAAATTGAGAAATAAAACAAAACCATTTTTAGCTCCGCTGTCGACTTTGTCGAGCGGAGCTTATCATATGAGTGATTGTCCGTCGTTGTCCGTGTCAATGTTTTACTTTTTCGACTTCTTCTTGAAAACTACAAGCCTGAATGCTTTGATACTTGGTGTATATGTACCTTCGGTAGACCTCTCTCAGATTTGTTCATTTCATGATGATATCTTCAATTCTCTAATTTTGGTGAATATTTTTGTCATTTTTAGTAAAAAGTGATATTTTCAACTTCTTGTTAAAAACCGCAAGTCCAATTGCTTTGATATATTATACTTATAGGTACTACATGTGGACCTCTCTCAGATTTGTTCATTTTCTAATGATATCTTCTGTTCTTTAATTGCCATGTGCATTGCTAACAGCGAAGCTATCTCAGCCGACAGGCTGCTTGTTTACTATTTATTTTATGTACAATCTATCATTCTTTTGTATCCAATAAAAGTGCACTGCATGTTTAGACAGTATTGCAAATGTCTCACAGAAATACAGAGTTTTCTGTTTCTTTGCTTGGCCCATAAATCAGCAACTTTATAAAACCCTGTTCGACCCCAGTAAATTAAACATTGGGTTGATGATTCTCCGTGCTTG